GTGAGTTTTGAGAGATATTCAAAGTGAAACTTGCAATGACTTTTGCGCCAAACTTTGCCCGCCGTTATTTAAAAACTTTTGGCGTCGAAACCAGTTGTTATAAAAAGACGTTTTTTATGCTCATAAGTAGAGAAAGCTTCACTTTATAACTCTTTAAAACTTGGTTTTATACGAGTGGTGCGCTGATTTTTCACAATTCAGCAAAGTGAGACTTGCAATGCGCTTGCGGCTAAATTTATCCCCGTGTTTCAAAAATTTGTTCCATCGAAACGAGTTGATATAAAAAGGCGGTTTTTTCAGGCAAAAATAGAGCAAACTTCACTTTATGTTCCCTCAAAAGTTGGTTCCATTCGAGTTTGACGTTGATCTTTGAAAATTATTCAAACTGAGACTTTTGCGACCAAAATTACCCTCGATTCATCAAAACTTTATTACATCGAAACTACTTGATGTGGAAAAGCGGTTTTTACGGTCGTAAACAGAGCGAACTTCGCTGCATCTTCTTGTAAGGTTTAGCTTCATATGAGTGTTGCGCTCATTTTCGCGAATTATGCAAGCAATGACTTTTACGGCTCAATTTGCCCGTCGGCATTCAAAAATTTATTACGGCGAAACGCTTTGATATGGAATGGAGTTTTTCCCGAGGGAACATAGAGGAAACTTTACTTGATGTTTTCTCTAAATCCTGGTTTATTCGGGTTTTGTGCTGGTTTTTGAGAATGGTTCACAGTAAGCAGTAACTTTTGCGTCGCAATTTCCCGACGCTATTCAAAAATGTATAACGTCGAAACCAGATGATATGGAAAAACGGTTTTTCTAGCCCAAAATAGTGCAAACTTCACTTTATGTGCTCGTTAAGTTGGTTTCCATTCGAGTTTTATGCAAATTTTTGACAAATATTCAAAACAAAACCAGAAAAAATTAAATTAACTGTTGCTACTTACCACACGAGAAGAAGTCAATATCAGCAAACACCGCATGGATTAAGGTGCTTACCGCAAACGCCAGCCAAAATATATCCTTCACAATCATATTGAAAATAATAATACTGAAGAAATTTGAAAAATCAGCCTATTTATCCAGTTATCTTTACTTAACCATAAGTAATCTGAGCAGTGATTTTGTTGAGTGATTGGCAGTCTGGAGAGTCTATTCGTAATAGGAATTGCATTGACGCAAATCACACACAAATGCGATGTAATTTAATATTCAACAATTATTTCGTATTTTTATTTTTCCTTCTTCTTTTACCCACTTTAATCGGCAAGCGTTAAAACCATGGTTCTTCAAGTTTACTTGTATTCGGAAAGCCAAATGTACATTTTAGGAGTCAAAATAGTGCAAACTGTTCCTGACTGGCGAATGCTGATTACATACAAACAAATGTTGCAATATTCTGCGTATTATATAAATATGAATGATGTAAAGGTCCACAAAACGTCGAAGAATTCAAAATATTTGAAGTGCCAAGATTTGAGATTTGCGATTAAACCAGTTTGATGTTTGCCTTTGCCTTGATAAAGCCGCCTTGCATGTTGCCGGAACAATATTCTGCGTTGGCCAAAAACAAAATGCCAAAAATCATTACATAATACTAAACAACTTTATAAAATTCTTAAACTTTTGATACTTAATAAGCATTTTTCACTAATCGCGTTTGTGCTAAAATTTCGCATTTTCTGCGGTCATTTGTTATGTTTTTGCAGCTGATGAAATGAAAATGACAAAACTTTATCTACGTGCACTTTGCAGTTCACATAAGGGTCCTATTTTTAGAATTTGCCCCATCATGCACAGGAAAATAATAAAACACTTAGACGCATTAAAATAGATCAGCGGTAAAAAACACGCAACCGATATGGGAAAATGTGTTAATTATGTTATATAAAAGGTTCAGCCATTTGGAGCTTGGAGTTTCGAACTTTGAAGGCATTTTTGATTATAAAAGTTTTGTGTTTTAATTGGGAAAATGTCGTTTTATTTAGGGGAATTTCCAAGAAATGCTGTTATTACCTCTAAGACTTTTCCAATGTGTTTGTGAACGAAATTATTTGGTGGTTTTTGCAACTGAATTTGTCTTTTTGATTCAGAAGCTTAATAAGTGTGCTTCTGACTCTCTCTTTTGAACTATTCCTCAGAGGTTCGGGTAAAAAATGTGCCCAGAAAACCGGAAAATCTCCTTAGGGGAGTCTCCATCACATTGAGAAACAGTTAATGAGTTCAGGATTTATAAACTAAATTTTGTTGCCAATCAAAAATTGGATCATTTGATGGAAGGTCGGAAACGATACCAAGTAATAAAAAACATCGTCTATATTAAAGGCTCCATAAGTTAACAACATCCGAACACTAGACAAACACAAACAAAGATTCATATATAAATATTAGGTGTGATTGACGTGTTTTATTCAACATCACAAACGAAGTATAACTTCACATAGTTAGATCGGATTGATCAGTTGGTGATGGTGGTGTCCATTTCGATGCAGAATCCCACGCTGGAGGTTCCGCCATTCAAGTAGCTGGACTCGATTCGCATTATTGAGGGAAGCTGAAAGCACCGGAAACATTACGGACGAATAAACGGAAAATTATGGACACAATCTTACCTGAACCAACCTGGAGGAGACGTTAAAATGCAGATCGAACTCTGGATACTCCAGTCTGGTTGTGATCGGGCAACCGAAAACGCATGGATTGTTCACAGTCACATTTTGCTCAAAGTAGGCCCCATATTGAAGAATGCCCAGAGAAATTGGGGCGTTATCAACTTCCGGGTCTGGAAACAAAAATTACTCCTAGAGCAAACAGGGTTTAACGTAGATATATACTAACTACTCCAGATAATGAGAGTGGCAATGTTTAAAAATAAAGATCACGCAAAAAATACATGTTTTAAATGTAATGTTAATCAGCGAGATTAACCACCTTATTATGGTACCGGCGAACAGCATAACGAGTTTAAACCAGTCAAATTAGGTCGATTATTAATTGAAGATTAAGCCAGCTTCAACATCAACCAACTTTTATGATTATTTTCTTCGTCGTTTTCATTTGGCTGCAAATCTATCGGGATTGTGATTGATTGCAATCTGGGAGTCAATAAACCCGAATAAAATACAAACTAAGGCAAAGAGTAACATAGTAAGCACGTGACGCTCTCAAGTACATCTTCAAGTTGTACTATTAGGAGATAACGTATCGAATCATGGTATCTAAGTGTGCAAGCCAGTTGCAAATTGATCTTTCTGTTACCGATAAAGACACAGTGGATTTAGCTGGTAAAATTCCATCTTTTCCACCCCCATTTCTCATGGTTCTTTGAATAATTTGCGTTCTGTCCGAACCTGCTCTAGATAAGTTAGAAAGTCGCCAAACTGGCCCTGAACTGAATGGAAACTGTTGCTGTTGTTCATTATTAGCTGGAAATGTAGACGATTAACGTATTTTACTGCAATTTTCAGGGTTATTCGAATGAAATAGTTTGCGTATGGTGTAGAAAGTGCAACTTCCTAGCTCGGATAGCTTAAAAGATATAAATTCTAGAAAATAACGTGCAATTTTATGGAAATGATCACTTGATAATGTACACATCACAATGCAAGCCGTAGAAAATCAGGGGAAAGTCTGATTTTTGCCAAGTTTTAACAGTTTCCGATAACAGAATAAGTTTCTTCTCTACACGCTAAAAATTTCACGCTTATAACTGGGTCGGTTTAGAAAGTACGAATTTTTGAAAGCGGGGCTGCAGTTTCAGGGAAAATTTACTTCTATCTTCATCACAAGCTGGAAAATTTAGATAAAGAACGATTTTAATGACATTTTCCGACTTAATGTATTTAAATGGGCGCCGTTGGAGCTAAAAAAATCCAGGTTTGTAGCTTTTTAACGCGAAAGATGCAATTTTTTAAAGTTAAACTGCAATTTTATATAAATGATCACTTGTACATCCCTGTATAGCAAGCCCTAGAAAATCAGGGCAAAGTCTGATTTTTGCCAAGTTTTAACCGTTTCTAAGACTAAGTTTCTTCTCTACACTCCAAAAATTTCACGCTTATAACTGGGTAGGTTTAGAAAGTACGAATTTTTTAAAGCCGGGCTGCGGTTTTAAGGAAAATTCACTTCTACCTTCCTCACAAGCGGGAAAATTTGGGAAAGGAACGATTTTAATGACATTTTCCGACTTAATAGATTTAAATGGGCCCCGCTGGTGCTAAATATCCAGATTTTTAGCTTTTTTAAGGCAAAAGATGCAATTTTTTTGAATTTAAACTGTAATTTTATATAAATGGTCACTTGTACATCCCTGTATAGCAAGCCCTAGAAAATCAGGTTTTAACAGTTTCTGATAACAGAATAAGTTTCTTCTCTACACGCTAAAAATTTCACGCTTATAACTCGGTCGGTTTAGAAAGTACGAATTTTTGAAAGCGGGGCTGCAGTTTCAGGGAAAATTTACTTCTACCTTCATCACAAGCTGGAAAATTTGGATAAAGAACGATTTTAATGACATTTTCCGACTTAATGGATTTAAATGGGCGCCGTTGGTGCTAAAAAAATCCAGGTTTGTAGCTTTTTAGCGCAAAAGATGCAATTTTTTTCAAATTAAACTGCAATTTTATATAAATGATCACTTTTACATCCATGTATTGCAAGCCGTAGAAAATCAGGGCAAAGTCTAATTTTTGCCAAGTTTTAACCGTTTCTAAGACTAAGTTTATTCTCTACACTTTTAAAATTTCGCGCTTATAACTGGGTCGGTTTAGAAAGTGCGAATTTTTGAAAGCGGGCCTGCAGTATCAGGGAAAATTCTACTTTTATAACTGGGTCGGTTTAGAAAGTACGAATTTTTGAAAGCCGGGCTGCGGTTGTAAGGAAAATTCACTTCTACCTACATCACGAGCGGGAAAATTTGGAAAAAGAACGATTTTAATGCCATTTTCCGACTTACGCTAAAAATCCCTAAAAAATTTTATATAAATGATCACTTGTACATCCATGTATTGCAAGCCGTAGAAAATCAGAGCAAAGTCTGATTTTTGCCAAGTTTTAACAATTTCTGATAACAGAATAAGTTTCTTCTCTACAGGCTAAAAATTTCACGCTTGTAACTGGGTCGGTTTAGAAAGTACGAATTTTTAAAAGCGGGGCTGCAGTTGCAAGTAAAATTACCTTCCTCCTACATCACAAGCGGGAAAATTTGGATAAAGAACGATTTTAATGATAATTTCAGCCTTAATAGATCGAAATGTGGCCCGTCGGTGCTAAAAAATTCAAGTTTGTAGCTCTTTAAAGATTCAATTTTTTTTGTTAAGTTAAACTGCAAGTTTGTGAAAATTATCCCTTGCACATTCATACATTCCAAGCGTAGAAAATCAGGACAAAGACTGACTTTAGAGAATTTTTGAACGATTCTAAAATTAAGTCACACTAAAAACCGGACTGCAGATGCAAAAAAATAACTTGTACATTCATCATAAGAAGAAAATTCAGAATTATGAACGATTTTGAAGAAATGTTGAGGTTCATTAGATTGAAATGGACGCCATCGACTATGAAAAATCCAAGTTTCCAGCTCTTGCAGCTTGGAAGATACAAATTTTTCAAAATACGACTGTACTTTTTTTCCAAAATTTTAAGTCCTTTCTGTATGGTCTACAAAGTTCACATTTCTTTCAATTTTCACTTACAGATGTACGAAAATCATCAGTTGGTTACAGTGGATTATTTTAAAACCTTTCGATAGGCGTTAAGAAACTCAATAGAAGATTGGTTGGTCGTTACGTTACGTAACCGATAACTCATACCAAAATAATGAAAATGCTTAACCCTTAAACTGTGCTGATATTGAAGTTTTTCATTGTTTATACGTGGTTTAAATTATTATCATGCCAAATACTGCAAGTTCAGAAAATGTTCTAATCGAACGTCGAGTGGGTACAGAGATTTCGGATTATCTTGGAGACGAAATTTAAATAAATTCCCGATGGACGCCACCAGGTCGCAACTTGTTTAGCGATAATCCTCAATTGTTGACAGCCACAATTCAGAACCACTTCGGTACGTAAATATGTTTGATTGTCTGCACTTGAGCTGATCAAACGCCCTTAAGATATCGTTTGTAAAACAGCTACATACAAATAAAGCTGTTATTTACCAGTCACTCGATCGCGCTTAAAGTCAAGTTAAGTTAAGGAAACCTAAAAAATCAACGCATTTTTCCTTGCTTACTTACTTATGTATTCCGGCTTGATTTGCACGTGGTAAGTTCTTCCGAACTGGAAGGTGCATGGAACTGCCGAGCAATCGTCTATCGTAACACTTTGAACAGGATCTCCTCCTAGAGAAACATTTTTTAAAAGATTATAACAGTTATATCATGTGTGATAAATAAGTTAATTTAATTTTCATTATTTATCAGGGTATGATAACCACTATGCTTGAGATATGGGGAAGCGTGGGTTTCGGGCGTGTTGTTTTCAGGCTAAACCCACCTGATGAGCGCTGAGAGGCCCGAAACTGGTCTGGGGGGTGTCTGAGATTTGCTGGAAAAACAACTGAAGAACCATTTCTTCAGCCTTCTTAGTCCGAAAATAGACGATAACGGAAAAAAAAAATGAAAACTAAAATGAACTTGGAAGACTTGATAAAGCAACACCATGAAGAAAACTTGACTAAACCCAACAGCAATGAGCATAGTGGAAAGAGAAAATCCGCAAAAACACTTTATGATCGAGTAAAAATCGAGTGAAACCTCACATCGTTTTTTACCTTGAAACTTGATAAAACATGGATTGATGATCGCTTCTAATCTGCAATAGATTAAAGTCAAATCAGTTAAGTGCCAAGATTTAATCGTCAAATACTATAAATTATTTCCAAACACGTTAAGATCGAATATTTGATGACGGACATTTTAGTAAGTTCAAGTATTCTGCTTACTAGTAAGCTGACCAATAGGCGCCGATGCGCTATTTTTGGACTACTTTGAAAATCTGAGCACGCACCACCTGCAAGTTTATTTATATCTTGAAATAATCGTATCTATTGTAAGTGACGTGATAAATTTAGCCAAGTTCTTAACGCAAAATCTTAAAAAATCGTTTATCGATGGCGTAAGGCAACAACAAGTGGTAAGTCGCTAGATAAATCAGTCGCAGGCAAAAATCGTTTTACTCACTCGACACAAGGACGAATCAAATTAAATTTAGAACCGATTGTTCTTTTCAGTCTGAAAAACTCGCCCATTATTTGCCACCGTTGTTTTTTGACCATGCAACTTGCGTAGATCGATATTATCTTTCACGTAAAAGATTTTTAAATACCGATGTAAGATTAAAACGCCAATAATCAAGTCCTCCAGCATGAGATGCATTGTGAATGGCATTCTTTCCCTGAAATGATTGATGTCTGAGTGAGCCAATATTTGTTGCAAAAACAATGAAAATCTCCAATTTTATCACAGCTTTTCTGAAATGCTAATAGTAAGTAAGTGTGTTTAACAAAAAGCTTTTGCAAATATTGCGCGAAACTGGCGGGTTTTTCGCCTTAAAATAACAAAAAAAAACGCACAAAAAGGATATTTGTTTCCAAGTAAAATTCATGTTCTCACAGTCTTAAAAGTCCAAGTAGGTGAAATGATATTTTTGACGCATTTCTCGCTATTTTTTACATTTCTTTAGCTTTTCATTTTTAATTATTCATTCCTTCTC